GCTCATCAGGTGTCTTGGCTTGAGGCTGGCAGGGATGTCCTGCAAGGGAGATGCTCAGGTCCTCCTAGAACAGGTGGGATTTCATGGAATTCTGGACTGTCTGTGTGCATTGCTGAGTCACCTTCTGCCTTGGCTCAGCAGCACTTCAGGTCTCTGCAGGACTTTGTGTTTCCCTTCGAGCTTCAGGAGTTCTCCCTTTTCTCCAGCCTGCTGAGGTCCCTCAGGGTGGCAAAGTGTCCATCTGCTGCTCCCAGAGTTTTGTGGTGCCTGCAGAGCTCTGTCCCATCACCCAGACCACTGATGGAGGAGGTGTGAACCACTACTGGTCACACATCAACTGTAGTGTAAAGGTGGATTCTTGTTACCAGCAGAAAGAGGACTCAGTGTCTGCTGCCTGTCTCAGGATAGATTTTTGTTGCCAGCAGAAAGAGTACTCAGTGTCTGCTGCCTGTCTCAGGATTCTCTCATTTCTCACTCATTTCAGCCCAAAACAAGTGTTCCAGGCCTTCTTACCTGATCAAACCCTTGGAAAATGCAGTGCTAAGCAAGTGAGGAGCAGTGACACATCTCACTTCAGCTGAGGAGACTGAGCAGAAAAGGTGCAGATTGATCTCCTCTGAGGCTCTGGGAGAGCAAGAGGAACTTGTAGCAGCAAAGAGTAGACAAGAGACAGGTTTAAAGTGCAGCAGTCATAAAGCCAAACCCACTGGCAGCACTTTCAGGTAGTCAAGAGTTTCTGCAGTTGGAAGACTTCACGTTGTGTTAAGGTCACCTACAGAGACTTCTTAAAAGGGATGTTTTGCCCTTGTGCAGTTCTTATTCTGCTGTCTTGGCAACTCTGCTATGTGCACTCAGGTGTTAAGGCCTCTTCATCTTCCCAGAAAGGCACTGAGCAATACTCCTCGTGCTGGAGGGGACACACCAGCCCAAGGTCCTGCTTAGCTCCAGGTTGTGATGCTCAGCCCCTGCCAAGCCCTGGCACAGCTTTGCCACCTGCTAAAGCTGCTCTGGGGAGCAGGAGGAAGGATGAATGTGTTTGTTTTGTCTCTGTGCAGAGCTGTGTTTCAGTCAGCACCAGGATTAAGTCAGGCAGTGAACTCTGCATTGATTTCTCCAGGAACCAGGTCAGCCTGGGAGGGTTTTGTTAACCCTCTGAGGATGTAAACCTTGCTGGAACAAAGTGGGTTGTGTATTCTCTTCACACACATGTGACAGCATCTCTGACGCTCCACACATCCCTGGCAGCATCCTCTGTGTCCCTGGGTGGGATTTTGGGCTCTCACCTCTGCCTGGTCAAATAGTGCTGCTGTGTGTTAGGGGAGGTCAGGAAGTTCTCAAGCAAATATGTGTTTTCTCAATGGGAAGGATGAGTTCTGGGCAAGATAAAATTGCATCTGTCAAGCTGCTGCTCTAATAACTTAGCACCTGCTCTTTTGGGGTAACTATTATCAAATGTGCCACCCCCACCCAAGTGCAAAC